GGCCAGAGGGTCTCTTGAGCCCAGGAGTTCAAGGCTGCAGTGAGCTGTGATTCTCCACTGCACTTCAGCCTGGGTAGAGTGAGACATTGTCTCTAAAAAAAATAAAATAAAGGCCGGGCACAGTGGTTCACGCCTGTAATCCCAGCAATTTGGGAGGCCGAAGTGGACAGATCATGAGGTCAGGAGTTCAAGACCAGCCTGACCAATATGGTGAAACCCCATCTCTACTAAAAGTACAAAAATTAGCTGGGCATGGTGGCACACAACCATAGTCCCAGCTACTCAGAAACTTGAAACTAGGAGGCAGAGGTTGTAGTGAGCCAAGATCGCGCCACTGCACTCCAGCCTGGGTGACAGAGCAAGACTCCATCTCAAAACAAATAAATAAATAATAAATAAAGAAATAAATCCCAACAGATCCAGATCAGTTCCTCTAGGATTCTCTTAGCTCTGCTCGCTGTGCTGTGGCAGCTCCATGCTGCTATCAAGATGCCTGCAGGGATCAAGTACAGAAGATACTATTGCCTTTCCCTGGCTCTCTGGAAGAGGAGAAACTTCTCCCCAGAATCTCCCAAACAAATCATCTTGTGTCTCATTAGACCAAAGTGTATCAGATGCTTATACCTGAACCAGCCTCTGAGGTGGGAGACATGCCATGTGCATAACTAGCTTAGGTCTGATTTTCTGAACAAATCACTGGCAAAGAGAATTGCATTATTCAACTTGGTTTTAATAAAACATGGGCTACCTTTGAAGCTGAGATTTATCTAAACCTTACAGCTGTTAAATGACAGAAAAAGGTGAGGTGGATTATGGAAAAGCATTTGTCATCATTTTTGGCTGAGCAATCTCTGAGCCTTCTTCCTATGTTTAGAATGAAAATCTGAATTTATTTCCTCAGATTATAAATCCTCCTGAAAGGCAGACTCTATTTCCCAAAGTTGAAACTGAAAATGTCAGTTTCACAACTCTCCAGGCTCTTCTGTTGCAAGGGTGTGGATAAGTGACCTACACATGGCTAACTAGAAACCACCACCATCCCCAAACCGCCCCCAGATGGCAAACACAAATCTGTATTTCTTTCCCCAGCCCATCCCCAAACAACCCCCTACTGCACAAGGAAGTAGGATTAGAATCCAACTGGTTTGCCCAGAATCAAATCGAATCCAATCCAATCCCATCAATTGCCTAGCAGGGGTCTTCCACCATGCTAACTGACCAAGGAACTTCTAGGACCAAAAGCACGAAGGAGCCCCCTCAGGCCTGGTTAACAAGAGGCATGGGCTGAGCCACCAGGATAGACAATCTCAAGTCCAAGGTCTGAATTAGATCACAGACCCAGAGCCTCTTGAATGAAAAGAGACCAGGTATTCTTGATGAAGAACGTTACAGTAAGACAACAGATACATACTCGAAATCAAGCGTGTGCAACCTGCGAGCTGTGGGCTGCATGTGGCCCAGGATGGCTTTGAATGCCACCCAACATGAATTCATACTTTCTTAAAACATTGCGATATATATATATATATACACATATATATATAACTTTTTTTAGCTCATCAGCTATTGTTGGTGTTAAGTGTATTTTATGTGTGGCCCAAGACAATTCTCCTCCCAGTGTGGCCCAGGGAAGTCAAAACATTGGACAACCTGCTGTAAATCTTCATTCTCATCTGTCCCCTAAATCACCGCCAACATTTATCAAGGCAAAGGTGTACTAGAGAAATGGAAAATCTAGACCTTTAAAGGATTATTGAAAACTGTATCCATTAGTTACTATTTATTTATTGGAAATGGAGTCTTGCTCTGTTGCCCAGGCTGAGTGCAATGGCACGATCTCAGCTCACTGCAACCTCTGCCTTCCAGGTTCAAGCGATTCTCCCACCTCAGGCTTCCAAGTTGCTGGGATTGCAGGCACCCCAAGCCTGACTAATTTTTTGTATTTTTAGTAGAGATGAAGTTTCACCATGTTGGTCAGGCTGGTCTTGAACTCCTGACCTCAGGCGATCCACATGCCTTGGCCTCCCAAAGTTCTGGGATTATAGGCATGAGCCACCATACCCAGCCAACTGCATCCATTACTAATGCTAATTTCTATGGGCCTGGAGTGCTACTGTTGTCCACCAGTCAGAAAACAGATTTATGTTGGGTTAGGTAAGAAACTAAGTTTTAAGTTTGTCCCTAGGCCCAAAGAGTCCCCAAATCTGTATCTCCCCAGCTCATAAGGGTATAAGTGGGACATACATGTACATGTAACAATAGCAAATGCCCACATTGGCTCAAATGGCCAAGTGTAAACTCAAAGAGCTCTTCATGTACAAAATGGCACATCACAAGTAATACCACATCCCTAGGAGAATTTCAGAGATTAATAGACCTGAAAGATCCAGAGGTGATGATTGCTATCACATTCCCTTTTAATGCTCTAGTTTGACTAGTGAAGAAAACCAGATGGGGCTTGGGGAATGACAGTGCATTATCATAAACTTAATCAGTTACACCTGCTGTTCCAGGTGGCTTCACCTGACCAAAGCAGATATACAGAGACTCTGGCACTGGGTATGCATCCGTGGATTTGCCAAATGTTTATTCTGATGCACAAAGAACACTAGAAGCAGGTTAGTTGTTGGTTCATTTGTTTGTTCATTTGTTTGTTGTAGCTGGTAAGGACAATAGTACATCTTTTCCTTACTTACCTTGGTATTGTTACCTCTCTGGTGCTGGGCTTAAGTTTGGTCTGTGGGAACCTGAATCATCTCATGGGACATCAAGCTGATAGACACTAGGGAGCTGAAGCAGATGCCAAGGATGCCTGGGTAAGAAAATTCACACCAGCTGGCTGGACATGGTGGCTCACGCCTGTAATCCCAGCACTCTGGGAGGCCGAGGCAGGTTGATCATGAGGTCAGGAGATCAAGACCATCCTGGCCAATATGGTGAAACCCCGTCTCTACTACAAATTCAATTAGCCGGGTGTGGTGGCACACGCCTGGAGTCCCAGCTACTCGGGATGCTGAGGCAGGAGAATTGCTTGAACTTGGGAAGCAGAGGTTGCAGTGAGCCAAGATCGCACCATTGCACTCCAGCCTGGGCGACAAGAGCAAGACTCCATCTCAAAAAAAAAAAAAAAAAAGAAAAAAGAAAATTCACACCAATGGGTAGAAGAGAAATATCCGAAAGCTACAGAAGATTTGGGACAGTGGATTTGGAGCAGAGGTGGGGGGAGGGTGTTCAATAATCTGGGGGATTAGGCCTCTTTCTCCAAAACAAAGAGCAAGTTGCTGTGCCTGGTATGCCTTATCACTAGGACTCAGGTGCAATGTTTGTGGGCCTCCACAGGATTTTAGACTTGTGCAATGCATTGGACTATGCCATCTGATTCGATGGGTGACTCAATGGAAGACTCTTAGCTTTGACAATGAGACGTTCCAGAGCTGATCCAGGCTGCACTGCAAGCAACTTAGCGCTGTGACCCAGCTGATCCAATGAGGCCTGAAGGGTCTCTGGCCAGCTCAGATATAATAAGTCATCTGTGGCAGGCTCTGATGGGAGAAACAAAGTCATAACCCTGGGATTCTAGGGGAAGTCAAGACCGCTCAGCCAATAACAAACCTTTAGAGAAGGAAGTCTTGGGTTGCTGTGCTTCCAGCCAGCATGACGATTGAGAACTCAGGCTGGCCCTGGGCTGCCTGGGTTTGAATCTCATCTCTACCACTTAATAGTGAGGCTCTAGTCCAGGGGTGTCCAGTCTTTTGGCTTACCTGAGCTACTTTGGAAGAAGAAGGATTGTCTTAGGCCACACATAAAATACACTAACACTAATGATAGCTAATGAGCTAAAAAAAAAAAAAAAAAAAACTCAGAATGTTTTAAGAAAGTTTGCAAGTTTGTGTTAGGCTGCATACAAAGCTGTCCTGGGCCACAGACAGCCTGCAGGCTGTGTGTTGGACAAGCTCACTCTAGACCATAGCCTATCTTCCCTTTGCTTTGGTTCCTCTTCTGTGAAATTGGCTTACTAGTAGAGGCTGGTTGGGAGGTTTAATGTGTAATGCATGAAAAGGACTTAGCGTGATGTCTGGCATGTACCTAATAATACAGGTTGAGGCCAGGTGCAGTGGCTCACGCCTGTAATCCCAGCACTTTGGGAGGCTGAGGCAGGCTCACCTGAGGTCAGGAGTTCAAGACCAGCCTGACCAATGTGGAGAAACCCCATCTCTACTAAAAATAACAAAAAATTAGCTGGGTGTGGTGGCGCATGCCTGTGATCACAGCTACTTGGAAGGCTGAGGCAGGGGAATTGCTTGAACCTAGGAGGCGGAGGTTGCAGTGAGCCAAGATCATGCCATTCCATCTAGCCTGGGCAACAAGAGTGAAACTCTGTCTCAAATAATAATAATAATAATAACAATAATACAGGTTGAATATCTCTTATGTGAAATACTTGGGACGAGAAGTATTTCAGATCTCAGATGTTTTTCACCTACTGGAATATTTGCACATACATACCTTGGGGTTGAAACTCAAGTCCAAACGCAAAATTCATTTATGTGTTTTTGTTTTTTGTTTTTTTTTGAGACAGAGTCTCATTCTGTTGCCCAGTCTGGAGTTCAGTGGTGCAATCTCAGCTTACTACAAACTCTGCCTCCTGGGTTCAAGTGATTCTTGAGCATCAGTCTCCCAAGTAGCTGGGATTACAGGCATATGCCACCACACTCAGCTAATTTTTGTATTTTTAGTAGAGACAGGGTTTCATCATGTTGACCAGGCTGGTCTCAAACTTCTGATCTCAAGTGAGCCATCTGTCTCAGCCTCCTAAAGTGCTGGGATTACCGGCGTGAACCACTGCGCCCGGCCATTTATGTTTTATATAGGCCTTATATGCATAGCCTGAAAGAAATTTTATACAATATTTCTAACAATTTTGTGCATGAAACAAAGTTTTGACTGTGTTTTGCCTGCCACCCCTCACATGAGGTCCAACGTGAAATTTTGCACTTGTAATGTCACATCAGTTCTCAAAACGTTGTAGATTTTGGAGCATTTCATATTTCGGATTTGGGAATTAGGGATGCTCAATCTGTAACAGTTATTGGATCCAGCATATTGAATAAGCATGAGTCATGCCAGAAACCAAATTTTAGTTCAGTGTGTTCCCTTCCTCCCCGCTAAGCGCTCTGTAGGGTCCAGCCCTACAGGGTCCTGTGAGTCCCTCTCTACAGGTGTAGAGATGAGAAACTGTGAAAATAAAGACACAAGACACAGAGACAGAGAAAAGAGAGTTTGGACCCAGGGGTCCACTGTCAACCAAAGTGCGGAGTCCGGCAGTGGCCTCCAGTGCCTGGACGCTCTGACTTTTACTGAATACAAAGCAGGGGGCAGGGGAGGTAGGGTGAGGTAATGGTGGTTGGTGATAGGGTCAGGTAAATCATGTGTGTTGGAGACAGGGGGCCCAGGACTTTCAAGTAGCCCAGACGAGGAGAAAACCTGATGTGTCAGCACTTTTCACATATTTGTCAGAAGTATCAAGGACATTATGTTGCTATTATTAATTCTTATTTTCTAAGAAAAAGAGAAACCAGGTGCAGAAGCGGAGCGTGAGAGTGGACATGGAGCACAACCACTGAAGCACAGCATCACATAGAGACAGTCAGGCACCCAGGTATCTTTGGGCCTCCCTGACAGCCATCAGGCCTTGCCACAATAGCTTGGAAGAGCGGAGTTTTCTCCTAACTCCCCTGAGGAAGGAGACGTCTTGGCCATCTTGGACGTCTCCTTCCCTAGCTGGCTAAACAGTGGGTGCTTTCATAGCACTGGCGCAGCCACACAGCCAAGGTGCCCTCCAGCAGCCCTTATGCGGGCATGACAGAGGGCTTAGAGCATCTTGCCTTAGGATCACTTTGTTCACAATGTCACCTCAGTTCCATACTTCATAACCCGATAGTCATTAGTAAAATTAAAGGTTATATTGAGTATATATCTTTACAAGTGAGTAAGTATAAGGTTATATATGATTATATAAAGGAATAACTATGAGCTTATCTTTCTAATTCTTTTCTAAATCAAGGCTTCAGATCCTTGCCACAGCACTTGTGGGGTGCCCCCACCACAGCTCTCCTTAGTGGAGGTGGCCTTCTCATGAGCTGGGAGACTCTGGCAGGTCCCAAACCTCTTCCACTCACTCCTTGAAACCAATGAGTTTCAATTTAGTAGTTAGAATGTTAGAATGGGTTGGGTGTGGTGGTTCACACCCATAATCCCATCACTTTGGGAGGCTGAGGTGGGAGCATCTCTTGAGGCCAGGAGTTTGAGACCAGCCTGGACAACACAGCAAGACCCCATCTCTACAAAAAAAGAAAAAAATAGCTGGGTGTGGTGGTGCATGCCTGCAGTCCTAGTTAATCAGGAGGCTGAGGAGGGAGCATCACTTGAGTGCAGGAGATTGAGGCTGCAGTGAGCTGCTAGGACCATGCCGTCGCACTGCAGTCTGGGCAACAGAGTGAAACTCTCTCTCTCTCTCTCTCTCAAAAAAAAAAAAAAAAAAAAAAAAAAGAATGGGCTAGGCACAGTGGTTCACGCTTCTAATCCCAGCACTTTGGGAGGCCAAGGCGGGTGGATCACGAGGTCAAGAGATCAAGACCATCCTGGCCAACATGGTGAAACCCCGTCCCTACTAAAAATACAAAAATTAGCTGGACATGGTGGCACATACCTGTAGTCCCAGCTACTTGGGAAGCTGAGGCAGGAGAATTGCTTGAACTGAGGAGGTGGAAGCTGCAGTGAGCTGAGATGGTGCCACTGCACTCCAGCCTGGTGACAGAGCAAGATTCCAATTAAAAAAAAAAAAAAAAAAAAGTCAGAGTGCCAAACTTGACAGTGTGAAATCTCCCTCATGTTTTGGCTGGAAGCCTGCAGAGAGGAAGGTCCCATGGCCTTCTGGTCCTCTTCTTCCCTTACTCATGCCTCCCCCAACTTGTCAGTTGTTGGTGCAGTCCCACCAGGTACAGCAGAAGCCGTGGATAGGGAGAGGGAAGGGTCTAGCCCGGCTCCACCTTGCCTGCTGACTTCATGCTGTCTCAGGGCTGGTAGATGGTTAGAGGGGGCTCTCTCTCACTTTGGTGAGCTCTTTAGAGATTTTTTTTTTTTTTTTTTTGGGACACAATTTCACTCTGTTGCCCAGGCTGGAGTGCAGTGGCATGACCTTGGCTCACTGCAACCTCCACCTCCAGGGTTTGAAAAATTCTCCTGCCTCAGCCTCCCGAGTAGCTGGGATTACAGGCACATGCCACCACGCCCAGCCAATTTTTGTATTTTGGGTAGAGACCAGGTTTCAACATGTTGGCCAGGCTGGTCTCGAACTCCTGACTTCAGGTGATCCACCTGCCTCAGCCTCCCAATGTGCTGGGATTACAGGCACAAGTCACTGCACCCAGCCTAGAGATTCTTTCCTGCAGCTTTTCTCCCCACTTCCTTTGACTGCAAAGAATGCACCTTTAGGGCTGTTTCTTGCAATGTTTTTAATCCCTGGGCATGAGCTGGGCCACTCCAGCCTCTATCTGCTGAGGTGGCTGCTCTCTCTCCGACTCAATCATGAGTGTGGTCCCTGGGAAACACTCTGCGTCACCTCCAATCCCAGTGTCACAGCACTGGGTATGCCACCAAAGCAGGGGTTCACCCTTCTCTCCCCGTCAGGAGAGTAGAGCTTAGCCTGTGGTTGCCTTAGATACAGTCTATGTAGTGGTCCTCTACGCTGCCCACCTAGCAGGGACATGTTTTAAAACTCTCCTGGGGACTCCTGTAGTCTTCCTCATGAGGCATAAGGTTAGCATTAGGGAGGCAAACTTTTTCTGGAAAGAGCCAGGCAGCAAATATTTTAGGTTTCATGGGCTTCTGTCTCTGTCACAACCCTCCCACTACTAGAGAACAGCCAGAGGCCGGGCACAGTGGCTCATGCCTGTAATCCCAGCATTTTAGGAGGGCAGATCACTTGAGGCCAGTGGTTCAAGAACAACCTGGCCAACATGGTGAAACTCCACCTCTACTAAAAATACAAAAATTAGCCAAGCGTGATGGCGCATACCTGTAATCCCAGCTACTCCAGAGGCTGAGGCATGAGAATCACTTGAGTCTGGGAGGTGGAGGTTGCAGTGAGCTGAGATCGCACCACTGTACGATTCTGGGTGACAGAGTGAGATCCTGTTTCAAAAAAAAGAAAGAAAGAAAAAGAACGTCAGAGACAATACTCAAACAAATTATCATGGCAGTGTGCGCCAATTAAACTTTATTTGTACAAACAGGCTGTGACCAGATTTGGCTAACAGGCCAAAAGCTTGCTAGCCTCTCACCCCAAACAGAGGGGGTTGGAAGCCTGTAACGGTCAACTCCTTCCTCCAAGCCTCTCACTACGAATTTCCGTATCCCAAATTTTCTCTCTGCACCTGATCATGTTTATTATCAAGTAAGGAACGGTGAGGAAGAGCTGAGAAACACTTTCTCAGACATTTCCCTTGAAAATCTCAATACATGGATTTGCCTCACTATCGCTTTGGTAGCCAATGACAACTTGACATGTCAATTGGGAACGAGGCAGGAAGAGTTTAAAATGTGCTGAGCTCGAGAAGTCTGCGAAGTCCAGATGTGGTATCCAGCTGAGAGCTGAAAGCTGTGCCTTGAAAGTCACAAGGATGAACTGGGCATAGCCCTCATCTTCTTACATCACACACTGCCTTATCTTTTTTCTTTTTTTTTTTTTTTTTTTAGTTGGAGTTTTGCTCTTATTGCCCAGGCTGGAGAGCAATGGTGCAATTTCGGCTCATCACAACTTCCGCCTCCTGGGTCCAAGTGTTTCTCCTGCCTCAGCCTCCTGGGTAGCTGGAATTACAAGCCTGCACCACCACACCAGGTTAATTTTGTACTGTTAGTAGAGACAGGGTTTATCCATATTGGTCAGGCTGTTCTCGAAATCCTGACCTCAGGTGATCCGCCCGCCTTGGCCTCCCAAAGTGCTGGGATTACAGGTATAAGCCACCGCCCCTGGCCCCGTTTTGCCTTCTTAAACAGACAATGTGCTGCGTACTCTCCCATTCTTGGTTCACTGGTGCCTGATGTGTATAGCAGCCTTGTTGTAACTTGCTGTAAAACCAATGCCACCAGGAGTTATGGAGGTGCCTGGAACGAGTTCCTCCTAAACAGAACAGCCTGATAGTGTTGTCTTTGTGTGTTCTTGTGTCTGCTTCCTATATATTGCTGCCTTCTCCTTCACTGTCAACCTGTCAGCTGTTACCTGCAGTTGCTTGCTGTCAGTTTCCCTATCTCTACCAGCCTCTTTATTTTTCTATTTTTTTCTTTCTTTCTTTTTTTTTTTGAGACAGAGTCTTGCTCTGTCACCCAAGCTGGAATGCAGTGGCATGATCTCAGTTCACTGCAACATCTGCCTTCCTCATCCTGGGTTCAAGTAATTCTCCTGCCTCAGCCTCCTGAGTAGCTGGGTTTACAGGCACACACCACCATGCCCTGATAACTTTTTGTATTTTTAGTGGAGACAGGGTTACACCGCGTTGCCCAGGCTGGTCTCAAACTCCTGAGCTTAGGCAATCTGCCCACCTTGGCTCCCAAGGTGCTAGGATTATAGGCATGAACCACCATGCCTGGCTTATTTTTCTACTTTTCATATGCTGGGACTTTAAAACAAAAAGAAGACAATGAGTCAAGTTGTTAGAATCGCACCAGATAAGGGGAGGATACAAGATGGCCAAATAGAAACAGCTCTGGAGTGCAGTTCCCAGCAAGAAGAATGCAGAGGCTGAGTGATCACCGCATTTCCAAACGAGTTTCTACTGCCCACAGACCAGGAGATTCCTGGGCTGAAAAGTGCCACAAGTTTCCAGCATGGCTGTTTCAGCCAGCACAGCAGGTCTTGGCACAAAAACTCACACAAATCTGGGTGGCCATTTCAACAGGCACCTGGAACACCTGCGATACAGAGCCGCCCATTCAACTGAAAAGAAGGGGGCTGAAACAGGGAGCCAGGTGATCTGGCTCAGTGGATCCCACCCCAACAAAGACCAGCAATCTGAAACACTCTGGATTGAGACTTTCGGAGCAAGCACAGCTGGACCCGAGATGGTCCAGCTCAGGGGGGAAAGGGTGTCAGCCATTCCACTCATTCCATTACTGAGGCAGACTGCCATTACAGAGGCGGTTCTAACTGTACCCTGTAAACAAAACCACAAGAAAGTTCACACAGCAGCTGGGCAGAGCCCTCAGAGGCTCAGCAATGCCTCTGCTGGCAGACTGTGACTAGACTGCCTCCTTGCTGGGCAGGGCATCTCTGAAAAAAGGCAGCAGCACATCAGGAACTTATAAATAAAGCCCCACCTTCCCAGGACAGAGCACCTGGGGAAAAAGGTGGTTATGAGTTCCACTGCAGCAGACTTTAATGTACCTGCCCAGCAGCTCTGAATGGAACAACAGGGCTCCCAGCTCAGCATTGGAGCTCCTATAAGGGACACACTGTCTCCTCAAGCAGCTCCCCAACCCCCATATATCTAAAGAGATACCTCATAAAGGAGAGCTCAGGCTGACATCTGGTGGGTACCCTTCTGGAATCAAGATAACAGAAGAGGAAACCAGCAGCAATCCTTATTGTTCTGCAGCCACTGCAGGTGATCCCCAGGCAATCAGAGTCTAGAGTGGACCGCCAGCAGTCCTACAGCAGAGGGGCCTGACGATTAGAAGGAAAACTAAGAAACAGAAAGAAATAACATCAACATCAACAAAAAGGACATCCACTCAGAGACCCCATCCAAAAGTCACCAACTACAAAGACCACAGGTAGATAAATCCACAAAGATGGGAAGAAACCAGCACAGAAAGGATGAAAACATCAAAAACCAAAATGCCTCTCCTACTCCAAGGAATCAGAACTCCTTACCAGCAAGTGAACAAAGCTGGATGGAGAATGAGTCTGACGAATTGACAGAAACAGGCTTCAGAAGGTAGGTAATAACAAACTTCTATGAGCTAAAAGAACATCTTCTAACCCAATGCAAAGAAACTAAGAACCTTGAAAAAAGGTTAGATGAAATCCTAACGAGAATAAATAGCTTAGAGAAGAATACAAATGACTTGATGGAGCTGAAAAACACAATACAAGAACTTTGCAAAGCACACACAAGTTTTAATAGCTGAATCAACCAAGCAGAAGAAAGGATACCAGAGACTGAAGATCAACTCAATGAAATAAAATGAAAAAGTACGTTTAGAGAAAAAAGAATGAAAAGAAATGAACAAAGCCTCCAAGAAATATGGGATTATGTAAATAAAACCTAATCTATGTTTGATAGGTGTACCTGAATGTGACGGAGAGAATGAATCCAAGCTGGAAAACACTCTTCAGGATATTATCCAGGAGAACTTCCCCAACCTAGCAAGGCAGGCCAACATTCAAGTCCAGGAAATACAGAGAACACCATAGATATTCCTCAAGAAGAGCAGCCCCAAGGCACATAACCGTCAGATTCACCAGGGCTGAAATGAAGGAAAAAATGCTAAGGGCAGCCAGAGAGAAAGGTCAGGATACCCACAAAGGGAAACCCATCAGACTCACAGCAGATGTCTCAGCAGAAACCCTACAAACCAGAAGAGAGTGGGTGCCAATATTCAACATCCTTAAAGAAAAGAACTTTCAACCTGGAATTTCATATCCAGCCAAACTAAGCTTCAAAAGTGAATGAGAAATAAAATCCTTTACAAACAAGCAATTGCTGAGAGATTTAGTCACCACCAGGCCTGCCTTACAAGAGCTCCTGAAAGAAGCACTAAACATAGAAAGGAACAAGTACCAGCCACTTCAAAAACATCCCAAATGATAAAGAGCATTGACACAATGAAGAAACTGCATCAACTAAAGGGCAAAACAACCAGCTAGCATCAAAATGGCGGGATCAAATTCACACATAACAATATTAACCTTAAATGTAAATGGGCTAAATGCCCCAATCAAAAGACACAGACTAGCAAATTGGATAAAAAGTCAAAACCCATTGGTGTGCTGTATTCAGGAAACCCATCTCATGGGCAAGGACACACATAGGCTCAAAATAAAGGGATGGAGGAATATTTACCAAGGAAATGGAGAGCAAAAAAAAAAAAGCAGGAGTAACAATCCTAGTCTCTGATAAAATAGACTTTAAATCAATAAAGATAAAAAGAGACAAAAAAGGGCCTTATATAATGGTAAAATGATCAATGCAACAAGAAGAGCTAACAATCCTAAATATATACGCACCCAACATAGGAGCACCCAGATATGTAAAGAAAGTTCTTAATGACCTACACAGAGACTTAGACTCCCACACAATAATAGAGGGAGAATTTAACACTCCACTGTCAATATTAGACAGATCAATGAGACAGAAAATTAACTGGGATGTGAGGACTTGAACTCATATCTGGACCAAGCAAACCTAATAGACCTCTACAGAACTCTCCATCCCAAATCCACAGAATATACCTTCTTCTCAGCACCACATCATACCTACTCTAAAATTGACCACAAAATTGGAAGTAAATCACTCCTCAGCAAATGCAAAAGAAGGGAAATCATAACAAACAGTCTCTCATACCACAGGGCAATCAAATTAGAACTCAGGATTAAGAAACTAACTCAGAACTGCACAACTTCATGGAAACTGAATAACTGGCTCTTGAATGTTGACTGGAAAAACAATGAAATAAAGGCAGAAATAAAGATGTTCTTCAAAATCAACGAGAACGAATACACAATGTGCCAGAATTTCTAGGACACATTTAAAGAAGTGTCTAGAGGGAAATTTATAGCAATAAATGCCCACATGAGAAGCAAGGAAAGATCTAAAATTGACACCCTATCATCAAAATTGAAAGAGCTAGAGGAGCAAGATCAAAAAAACTCAAAAGCTAGCAGAAGACAAGAAATAATTAAGATCAGAGCAGAACTGAAGGAGATAGAAACACAAAAAAACCTTCAAAAAATCAATATATCCAGGAGCTGGTTTTTTGAAAAGATCAACAGACCACTAGCCAGATTAATAAAAAAGAAAAGACAGAAGAATCGAATAGATGCAATAAAAAACAGTAATGGGGATACCACCACCGATTCCACAGAAATACAAACTACCATCAGAGATTACTACAAATAACTCTATGCACATAAACAAGTAAACCTGGAAGAAATGGATAAATTCCCAGACACTTGCACCCTCCCAAGCCTAAACCAGGAAGAAGTTGAAACCCTGAATAGACCAATAACAAGGGCTGAAGTTGAGGCACCAATTAATAGCCTACCAACCAACAAAAGGCCAGGTCCAGATGGGTTCATAGCCAAATTCTACCAGACTTACAAAGAGGAGCTGGTACTGCTCCTTCTGAAACTATTCCAAACAATACCAAAAGAGGGAATCCTTCCCAAACATTTTATGACACCAGCATCATCCTAATACCAAAACCCGACAGAGACTCAACAAAAAAAGAAAACTTCAGGCCAATATCCATGATGAACATAGATGCAAAAATCTTCAATAAATATTGGCAAACTGAATGCAAAAGCATATCAAAAAGCCTATCCATCACAATCAAGTAGGCTTCATCCCGGGGATGCAAGGCTGCTTCAACATACACAAGTCTATAAACGTAATCCACCACATAAATAGAACCAAAGACAAAAACCACATGACCATCTCAATAGATGCAGAAAAGGCCTCTGACGAAATTCAACAGCCCTTTATGCTAAAAACTCTCAATAAACTAGGTATCAATGGAACATATCTCAAAATAATAAAAGCTATTTATGAAAAACCCACAGCCAATATCATACCGAATGGGCAAAAGCTGGAAGCATTCCCTTTGAAATCTGGCATTAGACAAGGATGCCCTCTCTCACCACTCCTATTCAATGTAGTATTGGAAGTTCTAGCCAGAGCAATCAGGCAAGAAAGAGAAATAAAGTGTATTCAATTAGGAAAGGAGGGAGTCAAATTGTCTCTATTTGCAGAAGACATGATAGTATATTTAGAAGACCCCATCATCTCATCCCAAAATCTCCTTAAACTGATAAGCAACTTCAGCAAAGTTTCAGGATACAAAATCAATGTGCAGAAAACACAAACATTCCTATACACCAATAACAGACTAAAAGAGAACCAAATCATGAGCGAACTCCCATTCACAATTGCTACAAAGAGAATAAAATACATAGGAATACAACTAAGAAAGGATGTAAAGGACCTCTTCAAGGAGAACTGTGAACCACTGCTCAAGGAAATAAGAGAGGACACAAACAGATGGAAAAACATTCCATGCTCACAGTTAGGAAGAATCAATATTGTGAAAATGGCCATATTGCCCAAAGTAATTGATAGATTCAGTGCTATCCCCATCAAGCTACCTATGACCTTCTTCACAGAACTGGAAAAAACCAACGTAAATTTCATATGGAACCAAAAGAGAACCCATATAGTCAAGACAATCCTAAGCAAAAAAACAAAGCTGGGGGCATCACGCTACCTGACTTCAAACTATACTACAAGTTTGAAGTCAGGTAGCGTGATGCCCCCAGCTTTGTTTTTTTGCTTAGGATTGTCTTGGCTATATGGGGTTTGTGTCCTTTGTAGGGACATGGATGAACCTGGAAACCATCATTCTCAGCAAACTGACAGAAGAGCAGAAGATCAAACACCATGTTCTCACTCATAGGCG